ATCAACATGGAGAAACGACCGAACCAAGTCAAACATTAGTTACCTGTACGTGTGTGTGTATATGTGTAAATGTATATGGAAACGTGTACTATTAATATATATACATACATATATATATATAAAAGTACTATGTAAAATGTACGGATAGCAATTCGTAACAGATAAGCATCGCTAGAACTATATAGGATGCTGGCGCCAGACCACGTCTCCCTTCAACAATGAAGGCACGTGGCATAAGCTACCTGCATCAGAGTCAGTGAAAGTCCAACTCTCGTGTTTTGTGTGTGTTTTTTGTTTTCTTTTTTTTTTTCCTAATTTATTTTTATTTCGCAATACAATACTAGGCAATTGGTATATATATGTATGTATATACACATATTTGTATATATATATATTAGCGTAACGAACGTTTGTTAATAGTAAAATATAATAACAATATTCATCTATCTAAAAAAACGTAGCCTGACAACAAAAAAAAAGATCAATTCTCCGGCTGCATCGAACAAAACAATTTCCCGTAGAATATAACTATTGTAACCCTTAAAACGACGCCCTAAATGTTTTTTTTTTGTTTTCAAACGTGTTCTGTACATCTATCCTGTGTAATACGTGTGTTGTATGTGTGTGAGTGTGTACGCAAATGAATACGAATTTGAAGGAACATATTACGACGACGACGACGATGAGAGCGTGTCGGAATCGTGTTGCATTCTTCGTTTTGTGGACCGCCTAAAAAATCACCTGTTGAAAAAAATCGCGGGAGGGCAAAGGGGGAACAGCCAGACTTTGTGCATTTCTGCAAATCTGACAGCATACAGGCGGGAGGGGATTTGGGAACAATAGGGCCTTTTTTACATGAGAAATCGAAGCAACGGCGATGCGCTGTTAGCATCGCCTTTATGCTTCCTCCTCTTCCTCTTCGTCCTCATCGACACCGACGCATTTCGGGCAAACTGGTTTACCCTCCATCGCGTAAAACGACTTCCCGGAAACTGGCTTCTTGCAATCCTGTAAGTTTCACACCGTCATTTCAAAATGCTAAATTCGAAATTACGTGAATATCGCGACGGGGGGAGAAAAAACCTACCCTGCACACGAAACAATCCGGATGCCATTGGCTGTTCAACGCGGATATGTAATTCTCCATAATGGCACGGTTGCATCCGCCGCATTTCGGAGCGAACATATCGAAGTAATCCTCCCTGCAGTACGGCTTTCCATCTCGTTCGTGGAATCCCTCCTCGCCGAATTGTTTACCGCACTGAGCGCAAAAGAAGTGCTCGGTGTGCCAAGTTTTTTCCAGAGCTGTTACGCATTTCTGAAAATAACAACAGAGAGACATCACACGCGGGTTCGTGTAACCGTAGACGACGACATTGATCTAGAAAAGAGAGCGAGATGGCACGGCAAGCAGAGCGCGTGGCTTGTTCGGAAGAGGCCTTACGTCTAGAATAGGGCCGTTACAATAGGCGCAACGAGGCGAGAAGAGATTATGGTAATCAGGCTCGCAGTAAGGATGCCCTTCTCTCTCGAAGAAATTCCTCGTGCCTAGTTCTTGGTTACAATGGGTGCATGTGAAGTGTTCCGGGTGCCAGGTTTTTCCTAATGCGGTGATCACCTGCAAATTTCAAAGTTCATGTCAGATTTTTCAACGATCGTAGGAAGAGAGAGGATGTGTATTCCTTCGTTTATATACTTGTCCAACGATCGGCTTCTCGCAGGCGTTGCAGCATCCTTTCTGAGTAGTGTTCACACCTTGACGACTCATGTCGGCTTGAAGGTTTCCTAGCATAGAATCTAACTGATTCTGTTTGGTCTGTGTCGCTGGCTGCGGTGAATAGGGCTCTCCGTGTTGTTGCTGATAATGATGAGTTGTGTGTGTCTCGGTGATGTGAATCCGCGTCTGTGTCCCCTCAGGTGGCAACGGGCTCTGAGAACTCTTGGTCGCTTTGTTCGGCTTCGCGTACGGTGAATCGGTCACCGTTTGATGTTGATGGGAACTACTATTGATCTGCAAATGTTACGATGCATGATAAAATAGCTGTCGTTGTACTATAGAACAACGTATCGGAATATTCTTATAGACGAAGCGAAAGGAAGTGTATAGAGAGAGAAAGAGAGAGCAAGCTTTGGGTTACGGTGAAAAGATTTTCTTTCGTGTTAGAGAAAAGAGGATGTAAGTGGTGATCGATGGATGATTTTAGATTAGAGCAACATGTGCCGAGTGTGGTTAAACGAAGGGAATGTCAAGGTGCGCGAAGGTAAAGGCGATTAAGATGCGAAAAATCTTAAGGACCCCGGTTTGTGAAGATGTCGATTGGTAGAGGCGAGCTTGCAGACTGGCTGAAAGCTTTCAGAGATTTCGTGGATCACTATAATCCCCACCTTCTATATTTTCCCGCCCCTACCACGGAAAATCGCCGGAGACGAAGATAGAGAGAGAAGGAGAGAGAGAAGAAACGGATAGTCGGCTGGTGGTAGATGGTGGATGGTGGAAAGGAAGTTATTTTGGTAACCTAGGGAGCCAAGAATGGGCAGGAATAGTTTTAACAGCACTGTTTTCTCATTCTGTAGTGACTTTAATAGTAAGCAAAAACATTACAAATGCTTATTGCACTTGTGCTATCGAGATATCCATCGGAATTACGCAATTACTCTTAGATCGTGAGATATCGGGAGATAGCGAGACTTTTAACCGAATTTCTTTTACCGTCGAGATATGTACCTTGAATTCAGACAGAGAAGCCATTAAATCGTCCAGCTCCTTGGTAGCGTTACTGGCTGTGTGACCATTGGTAAAATTTTTCTGGACCTCGCTACGACTCAACGATCCATGCTGTCTAGAAGGATAATCGTCGTACACGGGTTGGATCTCCGTCGAGGTTTCCTGAATGGTCACTTTCACTCTGCCATCGGAGGATGGGTAATCCCTGATGGGAATGAAATCGTGTTAAACGCAACTACATCTTCTAGATTCATTTTTTTTTTTTCATCGAGAACCTCTTACCCGTTTGGTACCGCGGTGCTCAATTCCTCGAGCAAAGAATCCACGGTGGGCCTCGAGGCTGACATGCTACTTGGAGAACGAAGCATTGGACTAGAGTCTCCGTTCATTCCTCCCGAGGAAACGCGATTCTCTACGATAATTGCATTGATTTTTTTGCGTTAATTTTAATTATCGAAATTATTGTTCATCGTTTAGTTTTCGCGACTTGGTTGGGGAGATTTAAGTTGGGGCAGGGTGGAGCTAACCTCTTTCCTGATAGTGAGCATTGTAACGAGCATTGCTGAGGTCTTGGAGCAGAGTGTCCAGCTCGGAGAGGTTGTTGTTCAGCGAGGGCATCTTTCCTCCTGCGTTGCTCTTCGCGATGCTCTCCTCTATGGCCTCGCGGTTCTGATACGTCGGCTGTAATAACAATTCATCGCTCTATCTCTAATCCTTTCTATCGTGAGATAATATTCTTTCATATTTGCCGAATATCTGCTGCTGTAGTCTACAAGGACACGGGTCATGGACATAGATTGTCGATAATAATTGTGATTTTTCGCGATAGTCCATAAGGACACTATTTACACCCGAAAGCCTCAATAATAATTATAATTTTTCAGTGTAGTGCATAAGGACACGATTTACACCCGAAAACCTTAATAATAATTATAATTTTTCGCGATAGTCCATAAGGACACGATTTACACCTGAAAGCCTCGATAATAATTATAATTTTTCACTGCAGTCCATAAGGACACGGCTTACAACACCCGAAAGTCTCGATAATAATTGTGATTTTTCGCGATAGTCCACAAGGACACCTCGATAATAATTATTCTCTGATAAGTGAAAGCCTTAAATTTTCCTCGATTACTTACTCTCGGCAAAAGAAAAGTAATAAATCGACACATACACGGAGACGACGTGCATCCTGTTTATTCATTATTTAGACAAAAGAGAAGAGTAAGGAAAAAAGAACGGCCGGTAGACAGATTGGCAAGTGCCTGCAAAAGCATATTATTTCAAAACATGATGTCACTGGATGCCGTGCAGCATTTGTAAATACATTATCAATTAGGTGGACGCGCGGAGGACAAGGCGTCATACACTTTTAATAGAAACTTGCCCGCCAAACCAACCAAGATTTCTCGTTTGTTGCAAAATCCTCGAGAGAGAGAGACAGAGGACCACCGATTCGAATTTTGTTCCGGCGGGTTGCTTATCTAGTTAAAACACGATTCAACCGGCACTACCGACAGAGCAGAACTCAGAATCGGTACATTCTTCCAACTGGAACCCCCTCCTCTATTCCGTTCTTCGATCGATCGAAACAGTTACAGTGATTTTTACTTGTTCTTTTTTCTCTTTTTTTTTTTCTCTCAACGTTCGTCACGGAAAAAGATAAAGTGGCACGGAACGATACAGATCCTGATGGTGGAAACTAGGTTGGCTTGGTGAGTTGTCGTTCCAAAAATATCCATAGCGAACCACCGGGCGGAGAAACATGTCGCGGTCACAACCGAGAATCCTGCAGAAACCCTGCTTAAAATCTCTTCCTACGACTTGGTTTCGTCGAATATCGAAATGGCTAGCCTGCGAACATTTTACTCCTCAAGGCTGCTGGATCGAAAAATAAACACGCGCCTATAAGCTGCGGAGATCTACAGTGGGCTTACTAACACGATAAATCAACGTTTCGCCAAAATTTTGCGAAAGTACACCGAGGAAGAACCTTCTGTCGAGCGATCTATCGAAGGTGAAACGCACTTTTTAGCAAAGTTTCATTGTACTATTCTATGGTAAGCTTGCTGTAACGCGATAAATCGACGTTTCGATAAATTTTGCGATGGTTCACGGAGAAGAACCTTCTATCGATCGATCTATCGAAAGTGAAAAAAACACTTTTTGCAAAGGTTTATTCGCAATTTTGCAATTTCAAGTTTCCACATACAATCTATACGAATTGTTGAAGAAGAAAAAATGTGTGAAAGGCTGAGAATTGAATTTGGTGGCTGAAAGGGGCGCGTGTACCTTCGAGAATCGATGCTTTATGCACGGTTTACGCAACGGCCTCGATATCGCGCATTGTAACGACCGCGAATACGTAATCGTTCGTGCTAAATTCGAATCAAAGGAAAAGCTCGATGGTCTCGAATCTCGGTGACGTGCACGATTCGACAGGTTTTCGCCAACTTTTCGTCGTTGTCTCGACTGAAAATCTGAAATCTAGAAGCACCAATGTACACCGTCTAGTTTCGCCAAAACCGTTCCAAGAAGAACGGAATATGACACGTATTTTGATTTTTATACACACACGAGCTGCTAGGTTTATCAAACCGTGAACACAATTATCCTCGCGCGCGACAGGAGCCTCTCCGTAAATTATCGCCGCCGTGCAGACGCGCCTTAACGCCAAAATCGTTTCTCCCGCGAGACCTTATTTTTCCACGAATACGCCGTTTTTTTCTCCCTTCGATATACGGTGTATTTATAAGTCGAAGCTCCAGGGATGTTCGAAAAGACATCCGCTATATTTAATGTAACGCCGAAAGGAAGGCCAGGCATTCTCGTTCACCAGCTGGCGGAAAAATTGGATTTCCGACTATACACGCTCGAATAACACGCAAGGTGGCCAAGAAATTCTACACTCAACTCTCGAATCTATACACTCGAAGGTTCATTTGTATTTTCCTCTTTAAATCGTGCTCAACTGTTATGCAAAGGTATTGTTAAAATTTATGAATAAAAAAGTAGGTTTTCTCGTTAATTTAGATTAATTTAAGTGATCCAACCTGGTAACCTAACCTAACCTTAAATTGATTTAGATTATATTGAAAATCAGGTTATACAGGTTAACGTGGCTGTTCGACGATTCATCTTGATTGAACGAGTTTCAATGAAATTTCTTTTTTCGAAGAAGAACTTGACATTCTGTTTGATACGTCGATAAATGTTAGCGATCGTAATTGCTCAATTCGAACGTAATTAGACACGTGGAACGGAGACACGTCGTTTCTCATTTCCTCCATTCCCCACTAATTACATCTGTGAACGGGTTAAACGTTGTTTACACGAGCTATTCTAACATCGAAGCGTCTTTCTCACGATGTGACCACGATAAAACCGCGTAAAACGACCGCTTCTTGCGTAAGAGGGGAACGGTTAAAGCGTTCGAGAAACTCGACGACGACGAAGCGGGGCAATTAAATCACGGATGAAGTTGTATTTTATAAGAAGAATCGGTTTTGGCAGTCTGCAACTTGTGCACTTGGCGCGATAGTAGTCGGCGTTGCACGTGAAACGGGAAATTTCGCAGCCAACTCGTCGAACGTCGAAAAGCTGAATAATTGATGGATCGTTGCTCGCCACTGGGAACAATCAATAGCGACGTCGCTGGGGAATGTAACAGGTGTTCCGCGGAAAAAGATCGATAAACGTTAGACTACGATGACTCGAGGATTTGCTTCTTTATACACTCGTGTCATTCGTTTTTTTTTTCTTTTCATCGTTATATAAGAAATTTTCAGGAAACTATTATAGGTTATATTTTCAGGATTATACGCGAAAATGTATTTTCAATAGTTTGGTAATTTTAGATGTGATTCTAGTAGTATTTTTGGTGTCTCGATTTGGAAACGATTCGATTTACGAATATATTTAACGCGGTGACCGTATCTCAGGTAATTGGTCAATTTCCTGCGGAATGATCGAACGCCGCTCGTTGATAGTCTCAAATGCTAATTGTCGAGACGGAATCCATAGCGATTCATCATTCATTATGAGGCATATTTCAGAGTCGATTAACCGTGAAATTACGAGGGATCGGTGATTTGGTCATTGAACAAGTTGTCCGTTGAGGTTAGGATCGTAGAATTCAAAGCGGAAAGAATTTGAAGTGTGTGTAACTTGAATCCAATTTTCCCAGGATATCCCGTTTTTTCTTTCCATTTTTTTTTTACATCGATCCACTTTTTGAGGCTCGACGATCCTCGAGCGGTCGATTTTAGGAGGCAATATAGATTCTAATTTTAGACGATCCCTTACGTCACACGTATCTCTGGAATTTATCTATTTTGCACGTTCTTCAACGAGGGATTCTTCTTGTATTTTCTCTAAAACAGGGAAAGAAGAAAAAAAAACGTGGCAAATAGTTTTGACTTTATTTTAAACGGGTGACGTGGGACCATTTGGTGTTGGACAACTTCTAACAACATGTCGAGTCGTAGTCTCTAAAAATACGATGCAAGTACGATCGAGATACAAAACGTGTTTCGATGCATAGAAAAATTACGAGCAATTCCGCCTGTTCGCCAATTTGTCCACCGTTTCAAACGGGAGGAAATCGTAAAGTAACGTTTATTTGCAGATTCGAATGTTTTTTCAGCGGAGACCTTCCTTCGGATCGCTCTATTTCGAGACGTTATGGAAAATCGAGGGAAGGTCACTGCAGGATTTAAAACCGCGAGAACGCGGACAAGCGAAACGTGTCACCCTCGCCATCTATCCCTGGCAGGCTGTAACCTGTGCAACACGCTTCACCGATGATCCACTCACGGTCGATAAAACACAGCGACATCGGTAAAAAAGGTAATTTCACGAATTTGACACTGACAGAGCGAACTGTCCCGATTTATGGTAGTAATAAACATCGAATTCTTTGTCAATTTTATCGAAAAACTACAATGTTTGATTTATCAGGGTGACATACGAATGACTGTGTATTCCAAGCGTTAAAAAACAGTTCGAAAAAATACAAATCTTTTCCCTGTACCAAAAATGTATGAGTTAACAACGGACAGAGTCGACAGATGGTGTACGTGTTAATAAATTTTATTGTGATTGTTTTATGAGTATTTTATGCATAGTATTTTGCCGGTGTGTAACGAGCGATGTGCAACTGGTTTTCGTATTAAAACATTGGCGTAAATCGAGCAAGAGAATGAAATTTTTTGTATCAACGATTGGCAAAGCATTCTATAAATACAAAACACATACCGATTGCGGCGGAAGGGGAGAAGTTCGATTATCGTAAGATCTATAGGCGGTGGTTCGTGCGCCGTTCAATGATCCGTAACCAGGAGTCGCGTTGCTGCCGACATGATTTCCTTCCGACGACACTGTGTTCTGCAGGTCCGCCAGCAGCGCATCTGAAATCAGTAATTTAATACTGTGAACGACGTTGAGAAATATCTTCAATTATCCCTAACGATCTCAAGAAGACACGATTGAATTATCTGCCTTTTTACGGGAATTAAACGAATTGGCTCGTTTCACGTGAAAAATATTCCTAAAGTGAAGCCTATTATTCTTCAGATATTGCTTTAAGTGAATTACAATTTCTCTGTGATTATTTTCTACTTATAAAATGGTTGTTTGTGTCGCTTAAATAACGAGAATGATGTCAGCGTCGCCGATAACTGCGTTAAATTTTCATCGAAGCAGTTTGCAAACACCTCTAACATTCAGTGAGTGTAAATTTAGGTTAGTCCGGTGGAAAAGTGCACCGAAATTAACTAGATCAGCGAGTAACTGTCACAATACCACGTTAAATATCATCTCTCTTTCATAACAAGTAAAGGAAACCTCTAATTTTTTATTTCCGCCTCGCACACAAATATTTGCACACACAGACACTCACACAAAGTGTTTCCGATACATCACGATAGAAGTGACGAAAAAAAAAGCGATGACGCGAGCGTTGTTCAAACGAGCAAAGCCGCGAGATAAGCGTATAAGGTGATACTGCCTGTGTGCGCCTAGCGATCGCAAAAAGAAAATCGATCATTTACCAAGGCTCAGCAGGTTAGTTTCCGTTTTCTCAGTATTGTACGCCTCGTAGAAATTATCGGCGGTTGCCTGTGACTCGCATCCTGCTTCCATCTCGAGACAAACCGCGACACACCCACTGTTCCGAGAACGTCGAACTTTCCCACGAATTTCCGGTCGAATCGAAACCGACGCTTGCAAGATATTTGCGAAATTACGTACTTTCTACTCTCTTTCACAAATCGAACATTCTTCGTTCAATCGAGTGAATAAAATCGATAGTATCGTATCGATATCTTCGATGGCGAAACACTAGTGGTAGGTATAACGCCGAATGTGCAGAATTTTCTACTGAAATGTTCGTCGTCCGTTTGCCTTGGAACGTACACGTAAAACAAGCACGATAAATTTCTCTTTTATCTCCTTTTCCTTTATACCATACTTTTCCACGAGGACGAAAACTCGCGATGGAATGGGTAAACTGTTACGTGGTTATCGATACATTGGCGGGATTTTGTGCGCGCGAGCGCGTGACGATCGACAAAACGGTACTGATTGTCAATCAAGTTCTCGGTAAAGCGACCGGCTTCGAAGCCGGAGGATAGAAGCCTGGAGGAGGCAAGCTGGTCTGGAGAAGGAGAAGGAACAGGAGATGGAGGGAGTATTCTGACAACAAGGGAAGTAGGAACCCGTGGCTGTTACAAGGCGAAGGAAAAGTCTAGTCGGTTACGAAGAAACGCCTGGGTGAGTGGAATCTGAGCGAAATGATGCTTCTGGATCGAGTGGACGAGTTATTTCGTGGAAATCGAAGCCTTCTTTGAACTAGCTGCTAGGTGTTGCTGATAGTATCGTTGCTTGAGAGACTTGAAAAAGGATAGCAAAACAAAGATAAAACAACGCGAACGAACGTTCATTTAAAAGTTAAACATGTGTTGGTTTCTGCTTCGTCGGTAATGTAGAACATCAGGTAGAAAAGCGTTAGATTTTTAAAAGTGTCCATGTTGATATTATCTTGTCTGTTTAATTTCGTGATTGTTAATTAATAAATACAATTACCGAGTGTTGAATGTACTGTGTATTAATTCTGTACTAGTATACGGGATGTGACGAATGAATGAGATTCAACGTTGGCAGGAAGCCTATTGAGCTTCCCCGGATCTATTTTATACTTCTGAATCATACGGTCCATTTCGACATTAATATTGTGCGATATGCGTAACGCACTTTCGTCATAAATTTCTAGGAGATTGGACACATGGTAATGGTTCTGGATGGTTAATAAATTTCACGAAGGAATCATAGTTGTACGTGTTTAATACAGAGTGTCATAGTTTCTACTATATCACATTGAATACACGTTATAACCTATAAAATTTGATACGAATATTAAATAGGATAAAACAGAAGAATATCCCAAAGAGTAAGTGTACCGTACCGTCATAATATATACAGAATTCAGTGTAATTATGACAGTGATTTTTGTGCAAAGACAAAGTCATTTTTTCCCATTAACTCGTACTGCCATTGCACTCTATAGTTACTTACTTATGTATTGTTCCCAGCATGCGTGTCTTTGGATCGTTGCCAAACGAACCGGTGCAATCGGCGATACAGATCTCATAATGTCGGTCATGTTGTTGGTTTTAACGATGCAACATAAATAAAATCGAACAACGCGAGATTTAAGTAGTATTTAATACATCTGCGAATCAGATCAAAAAGCTGTTGCTTCAAACGTTCTTCTGATTACCATCGACCGATTCGTGTTAACCTATCCTAGTCTGACGTTCACTAGACACTGATTTTTGATGCAGCTTGCGGTCAGAGTGATACAAACAGGAAAGAGTAACGACGACAATTTCGAAATTGCAATTTGACCAAAGAAAATGTTAAAAATAAATCTTGCCCCCTGCCAATTACGTTTACTATAAATTTCGCGGCGAATCAAACATCTAATTGTGACATCTATTATCGCGACGCTAACAAGCGTACGACTTTACTGTACTATCCAGCGATAATCGTAAAATCTGATTACCGTCAAATAATTCGGCGAATTTTAATTGAAATTAATATAGCTATAGAAACAACAGACTCTTCCCGTACTGTCACGTGTAAGTAATCGATAGAAGGCCCGTATTTATTGCGAGATCAGATAGAACTGGCAGCACGTGTTTCTTAAACTGCATCTACAGAATCTGTGTTACGTGAATTCATCTCCTCCTTCCTTTGTCCCTGTTTTCTTCCCTCCCTCTTTTCAACCTTGTTGCAGTCCACCTCTGTTGCGAACCTTCATATACACACGATGCTTATAGACGAATGTTTTCACCTAGATACATGACGACAAACTAACCAAAAATAACTTCGACTAGTTATGATCTTCTCGTGGTTTTCTCCCGTTATTTCCAGTTTTCTTCGATCGATTAAGACGTATAAAATTTGTCGATAACTTAAAAAAAAAAGAAGAGGGATATATTACCATGTGAGTGGAATGGGTCACGTTGAACCTGCTCGAACAGTTATTTACGTTGATCGTAAACGTAGGAAGTTAAATCTCGCAACGTTCAACCAGATATGGATGTGTATAGATCAAGCCAAGGTTCGTTCAAGGAAGAGATGCCTACGCATATATCGGATCATTATATGATCTTTGATGTAATGATATGCACGATAAATAACCGCGGTTTCCTGCATCTCTAAAAAAAGAGCTTTCTCAAATTTTAAATTGCTATTTATCATATAAACTACTTCTGAAGTACTATAGAAAACAATCGATATGTATGCATGTATATATAAATAATTAAAACGTATATTTTATTTTTCTTGTCAACATTCCTGACAAAGAAACTTATTCGATTAGTATGCTCAACAGGAGACGTACATTTAAATGTAACGTTAACACGTCTCAACCCTTTCACTTTTGAAATTGAAAGGAAATTTGAAGTTTAGTAATTATCAACAATGTAGTGACGAAAACATCGCCGATAAAGAAGATTTCGTGCATCGATAAAGTAGTACTTTAGTGTCAGCAATTGAAAATAGATTGCACCACTTGAAAAGTCGAGAGTATTTTTAATTTAAACTTCCTTGGATACGTACAGAGATCAGCTACCACATTCTTTTACACATTTCCATAAAAAGATCGTCCGTAAATAATGACTTGAACAATTATTGCAGAAAGTTTAGTGTCAAGGCAACCCACATTGTAGGTGAAAGGTAAAAAAAAAAAAAAAAAGAAAAAAAAAGTGAACTGTTGCATCGTGAGTCATTCTTTCGGACAGAACTAAATGTGCATTTTAAAAATAATTTAAATCCACGTATTGTGCAATACAACTTGATAAAATAGATACACTCTTCGCGTAATTTCAGTAGAATTCTGCATGTTTCGAATTAACCACCGTGTACATTAACCTTTTGAAAATATGCCAAAAATACATTTCCGTCAGTGGTTCAAGAGCACTATAAATTTCTCAATGCATAAAGTAAAAGATTCAAGAAGAAAGAGCATATGCGAATAAAATGAACCAATGATTTTATCACACGATCGTAGTTCATGCTCGAATGGAAGGTTATCATGTTACACATCGTACTATTAAACTCGTGAAAAATTGCATTCAATAATTATGTAGTTTCGTTGAAAGAATTTAAAAGCTGCTTAACTAATTTGCTCGATTCAAAAGTGTTTTAACACGTGTTATACATCTACAAAAGAAAAAAGAAAAAAAAAACAACATTTCATCGCGAGCAATTGAGTTTAATTTAAAAGTCTACGTTATGTTATCACGCAAAGTTGCGTGAACGCGAAGCGACGCTGATACAGATACTAGATCGATATAGTATGTACTAAACTAAATAATTCTTTAACGCTAATTTTATGACAGAAAGGATATCAAGAACAATTTTTCATTCATATTTCTCACCGGTATTCGTATTACGTATGCAAATAGGTCACATATATGCACGTACGCATCCGCGATCATTACAAACAATTTTGTAATGTTCGGTGCTATTTCGAAATTTCGCAATGGAAAAATGAGAAATGTAGTTCAATGTCAGTCAAAATGTGAAATATCCAAACAGAAATGTAAACTTACATCCTGGTGGTGAACCCTTTTTAATGGTGATTTTATAGGGCTGATAGATAGCGCTTGGTTCTACTTTTCCGTACATCGTTCGATCCATAGCCATTATTTTTTTTTTATGTGGCACTTGTTAATATAATCACATTAATATTCATCAAGTGTTTTTTTCTTTCATTCAAAATCACAATAAATCACGAAATCATCGCGTACACGTACAAGTGTGTATACTATTATGTAGCACTTTTACTGCGGTAATGCTTCTCTTCACTGTCTATCGCGAACGACCGAGCTGTGTAGACGATCGATTGGTGGTGGGGATGATGCACACACCAAACGGCCACTTGTTGAATGCTGTCTGTGAATTTTATACGTATAAGCATGCGAATAGGTGCATGGTCTATTTGTTCGTTAAAAAAGGAAGAGAAAAAGGCAGATGTAACTTGATGAATCGATTAGTTATTCTAATTAGATTCTGCATCGTATTACACGCACGTTTAAGTATTCTTCTTCGACGCACAAACATAGACTTCATTCGCATACAACGTCCTATTGAAATTTTATCTAAAGAGATGAATGGCTATATTTTTTAACCGATCGAAATACGACAGAACGATTCAATCGACTCTCTGTGGATAGACCGAATTTGACCAAGGGAAAATGAGAAGTTCAAATGTACAAGTGTATTTCAAGCGCTCGCCCGCACTAAAGCATCCATCCTCTCCCCGCAGCGCCAATAACAAGAGGACAACGGCGCCGTGAAATACACTAAAAATACGTAGAATCGTTGGCACGACAGCTCAGGGCACGATATTACGCGATTTTGAGAAGTCTCTTCCGGTTTCATGCATCAACCACGTGTAACACGTGTATTTCTCTAATTTTCAAAAGGTTCTCCTTTAACGTTAGAATATTTTATCCAAGTTTCTATTTGCTTGACAAAAACATTTGAGAACTGCAATTTTATTCGAAGATTAAAATTATCAGATCAGAACTGTGACAATTTTGTATAAAGATAATAATAAATTAACACCAGTTACGGAGAGGTAACATTGGTTTTAAAGTTGATATAAATAAACGAAGATATAAATTCACTGCAAACGTATACGATTACAACAAACGTACGGCGAACACTGAACTAATTAAACGTATATAATAAGTAACGTATCGAATGAGGTTAAACAAGGTATTCAAATTACAGAAAAGCATTTAAATAAATTTTAATGTATGTATATCAAGGAACCACACTACAAGGGGTATGTTATGCATTTGACGGTGACACAACGAAATGTTATCCATGAAAATTAAAGTATTAGTTACGTACTTGCATTTTCTCTGTTTTTCACACAATTATGTACATGTTATCTAGATTTTGTTAATTAAATCCAGAATCACTAATTTTTTAAATAAATACCTTATACATATGTATGTATGTATTTACGTACTTACATATATAGTTCGTGACGGTGACAAATACATATTGTGAAAAAAGTATGAACAATTGAATAATTTTTTATCACAAATAATATGATGAATATTTATATTCTTTTTATATTTATATATCTACGTATACATAAGTAATATTAAAATTAAACTAAAATTGAAGTTGATAAGTCATATTTAAATGAATTGATATTATGCTTGTAAAATTTCAAGTTAAAATCGAAAGGATAATATTTTCATTGTTGTACTCAAAATTTTATTTAAATAAAAAGTAACAGTAAGAGTTAATAAAGAAACGTGGTATGATAGTTCTGACAGCCTGATTTCAATTTGAGGTTATCTTATGAATTGCATATTTAAAATTATTCTTACTCACCTAAATCATCCATGTTTAATTTATATTAATCTTGTGAACACTTTTATACAAATTACACTCAAACCTAATAATTTCAAATTAAAACTACGACGAAATACGTCAAAATTGTATGCACAGTGCACTTCTCTGAATTAGGTAAAGCAAACATCAAATATGGAGAACCTAGGCCCTCAATTTTCAACTTCCAGTATTCATTGTCTAACCTTTACACATTTTAATAAATTCCCGCTCAATTTGAATGTTATATTCAACAAAGACAATAAAAATGTATAAACAATGGTTTATTATTCTGTATAATCATAGAAATAATTTACAATATAGGAAGTAAAATTCCAAGTAATTTATATTTATACATTGTTGTTCATAATTTGTGTAACTACCAAGAAGAAAAATCACCAAATGAGCTTGCAATTTTTCTCTTTTTGACTGTAGATGCTATATTCGACTCCTCTTTTTCCACCCTGCAAATAACAATAACGATTAATACTATTCTAACAATTTATGGACATGTTATTGTCTACATAATGCGATTTTACTTGTTTTCTTCTTTGTCCATTCTTATGTATTTTCCTACACCGGACCTATATACTTTTAATATATCATTCTTTCCCGTTTTATTATCTGATTTATTTTTCGCAGCTTCTTGAGCCAATCGCTCAGTTTCAGCCGTACGTTCAGCAGTTAATTGTTCGTCTGCTTCTTGAAAAGGATCGACAAAGACTTGCGCCCTTTGTATTATTATATCTTCTATCGGCTTGTCTTTGTTATCTACTTCAATTTTTTCAATAGCATTTAACGTTTCGAGTCCACCTACTATCTTTCCAAAGACAGTGTGCTTACGGTCTAAATGTCTGCACGATCGAAACGTAATGAAACTGCAATTACATAAAACACTATTAGTAATTATGAAATTGTGCCTGTAAATGTATAAAGCAACGTAATGGAACGTATACAATTGCGATCCATTTGTATTTGATCCAGAATTCGCCATTGATAAAATTCCTCTTCCTTGATGAATCAGATTTGGCTTGAATTCATCTTCGAATGTTTTACCCCAAATAGATGTTCCCCCATTGCCAGTGTTAGTAGGGTCACCTCCTTGTATCTGAATAGTTTAATATTGATATTTTCATTATTTACAAAATTTATGTATAAGAAGTGACGTATTTACCATGAAATTCCGTATAGACCTATGAAATTTTGTTCCATCATAGTAACCATTTTGACAGTGTCTTATAAAATTTTCACAAGTTTTTGGAACAAGATCACAATGAAGTTCTAGATTTAAAGCACCAAAATTTGTGAGCAATCTTACATATCCTGTAAAAAAATATAATGTAGTTAAAAGAAGTATATAAAGGTAATATTAATTGCTTGCCTTTCTTTTTAACTCTTTCATATCGTACTAAATCTTCTGCAATAACTGCTGCTTGATGTGTAGTTTCTGTTGGCATTACTGTTGATGTAAAACCAGCTGCTACTGCACCAGTAGAGTAGTGTGCCTAGATATACAAATTTTTGCTTTTCTATGCCAGATTTTGTTAAAATCAAAAATAAAACTATTAATTTCCCTATACAAACCGCATTAAATTTATCCGCTTTTGGCTTGGAAACTTCTTGTTTAGTTTCAATTTGTTTATAATCCCTATTTAATTCTGCTAATATTTCTTTGGTTTCCATAGATACAGTTTTCAATTTTGCATTTGGATTATTACGGTCTTTTATAATTTCTGAAACATTAATTTTAATTTCAATATGAATAAAGTTCTTATTAGAACTAATTAAAATCCATTAAATGAAATATAAAATATTACCTTCATCTTCAAGTTTTATATTATTTTTAATATGATGAAATGTAGATAAATTAAATTTCATTGCATAATTTGGATCTTGTATGGTAATGATATCCTTCCTTGCAAAAGGTTCATCACTTATTAAATCTTTCCAATTACGTGTCTTTATATTTAATTGTTCCACAGCCTATAAACAAACCATTATAAATTAAACAAATAACAATAAATATTTGTAAAAAGTATACAGAATTTTTTCTATACCTCATGTGAAAATACATTTCCACTTGTTTTGATAGCAACAATATGAGAATGCTTGGTAAATAGTTTGAAAAGAACTGGACAATGATATTGCCCTTCTGAATTTTTATGAAAGTTAAGTTTTATTAAAGTTTTTGGATCTAATGGTTTGCCTGTAACAGGATTATGCTTATATCTTTTTATATATTCCAATATTGCTTCTAGTTCAAAAATGTTTCCTTCTGGATCAGAATAAGGATGTTGAAAAGGTTGTAGAGTTAAACAACAATGATCATAAGGTAAGCGACGAAATGTTGTATCTTCACTTTGTTCAGAAGTTCCACCTTTTTTGCCACCATATAATGTTGTCCATTCTGTATATGTTAAATACCTACAGAAACAGTAAAGAGAAATAGTTTAAGTAAAAGAATAAAAATTTTGTTGTCATAACCCAAAATAACATTTTTAAAGAATCTTACATTTTATCTTTCTGATGCTGCCGTTTACCCATCTTGATTGTACTATTGATTAATCTTCTTTAAAATAGAATTGTAATTCTTAAAATTCCTCAAGTTAATAATATTTTACGTTACTCGATACTTGTTTTTACTTTGACATAAGTTCTATACTGTATCTCATATTTATAGCATTGTATAGTAAGGTCATTTTCTCAGTTTGCTCAACCTGGAAACTAAGTGTGACCAAATTCAAGTATAAGTATAAATTGATTTGAGGTTAGAAATCTTTTATAAAAATGTCTAAGGCACTTAAAAGAGGATATGTAGCAAAGAAAGTGTTGCAAAAGGTAGACCATTCTTCACCGTTACGGGTAAACATTCCTGCAGGAATGGCAACTGCTAAACCACCACTTGGTGCACAACTTGGTCAGGTTAAGAGAATCTCATATCTCCCATTTGTAAAATTTTATGATGCACGTTTTATTTTTTGTTATGAATAAAAACAATAGTAAATTATATCATTCATTTAAGTTTCATAAAAACTCTATAATTCTTTGTATGTGTGACAGATTTATATTATTACTTTTAGCGAAGTATCAATGTAGCAAATTTTTGCAAAGAGTTTAATGAGAGAACAGCTAATATTAAGACTGGTATACCTTTACCATGTCGTGTTAAGGTAAAACCAGATGGTACTTATGAATTAGTTATTCACCAGCCACCAGCAACATTTTTCTTAAAACAAGCAGCTGGAATATCAAAAGGAAAAATCCCTAATGGTAAATTAAACATTACAAATATACGAAAGTACTGAATATATGAAGTTATTATAATGGTACATGTATATTCTAGAGGAACTAGCAGGAAAAATAACATTCAAGCACTTGTATGAAATTGCAGTCATTAAATCACAAGATCCACCTTTAGAGTTATTGACTTTAAAAGATGTTTGTCAAATGCTTGTTGGAATTGCTCGTACTTGTGGCATTGTAATTGTAAATACAATAGATCCAGTAGAATATGCAGAATTTATGAAACAGAGAGAAGAAAATCTTCAAATTTTCCTAGCAGAATTACAAGAATCCAAGATCAGTAAAGTACTTAGAGGATCTTAAAGTGCAGCACCAATATAATTTCCTGTACATATTTAATAAAAATAAGGTAGCCCTTAAAGTATAACATCATACAGTGTCATGATATCTTTTATTCCTTTATGATACACACTAAAGACAAAGTAAAATAAGAGTAAGTAGTAGGAAATATGTTCATTTCAATGAACCGTACATTTATTATTTCGTCTCCACGCGAAATTCCACAAACCAGAAGTTATTAATTATAAATTTACATCACAATAAATATTAACTATAAGTACATGTACAAATACATGTGGTACTCCATGGGCACATATGCTAACTGCTAGAGTAGCAGTATCAATTACAATGTTGCGCGTTTTATAAGCATCGAAATTGTGAGATTTTCGATATGAAATTATATGAAAATATATTTAAAAATTAAACCATGAATAAATTCATTTTTCAATCAAGATATCTTAAAAATAGTACCACATATTTCCCTTCTATACTTGCCCAACTCTACTTGCCATATAGGCTGAAGGGAACTTAAAATATTTGAAAAGCAAAAGATGATGTATCGATATATCGTTATTGAACTAATCGTTTGACAGTTATTAACTAGCTTCACAACGATTTGCTGACGTTCTACTCAAAGATGGCGGTGATGAGTACGCCATGTTTCTTGTGATGTTCGCGCATTAGGCAAATTTTTTGAGAATTGTAATCTGTATGAGCAAAATGGCTGATGATGATCCGTGGTTATTGAAGGAAGACGGCTATTTAAATGTGGATACTGAGTGTAAAAGTATAATCTATCATGCTAATCTAAATGTGTTACTAATTACTACTGGCAGTGCGCAAGTATACGTATTTGATGTCAACTCAGGAGTAATTTTGCAAAAAAGTTCTCTATCCGGTAAGCATTTTCGTTCATTTATGTCTGCTGAAGAAGAATTTGGTATCAATAACAAGTCATTACATTACAAATTTTGGAAATAATTTATTTGTAATATTCAATCATACCTCATGGTCAAGGTCGTATACGCGTATAAAACGTCAGGCGTGACTAAAGTTTTTCTGATAACTGATTGTTTCCTAATAAAATGATGAATTTTGATTGCTAATTAATTTTTGTTTTAATTTGTTTTTATTAGTCAAGATGTTGCCAAATTCTTACAGTCACCTAAGTGTTTCTCTCAAACTGTACCCATAATTGTGTTGCATCTGTATTTGTTTTTTATGATAATGGTTTTTTATTATTTGTTATTAAATGATAATCAGTATAAAAAGCGGATTAGCTCTTGTATGACTGTATTAATTTTTAGCTAATAATAGTCTTTAAGAGTACACATTTTTCAAAATGCATTTTTTATTTATTTTTTTATATATTATTGTCTTTATCATTTTGTATTGCATTTATTAATATGTTTAGAATATAAAAACTATATTTGTTTAATTTCTATTAGTGAACTAAAATATCATAATGAAGCAATTTTCATCTTTATAGGAAAATTAAATGGGAAACTTCAAGGTACATATTTATCAAATGGTGTAGATAAAGTACTATATACGGATGGAAGAGGAATTGGAGTACGTAGTGACTATAATGGAGTACTCCTTTTGGACACACTTTTACAAACACCTGTTTCAAGAAGTGAAGATATTATAAAATTAGAATTACTGTTTTCTGAAGCTACTTTGTTATATCAATGTCTACGGTACATAGAGCTACCAGGTGTAGATCATATACAAGAAGTAAAAGAAGAATTAATAAATAAAACTTTTATAGTGGAAGCAAATCAGAAAAAGGGAATTAAAGCCCAAAAAGTAAGTGAAGAAAGAAAAAGTGCATATAAAAATTTATTTTGACATTAATTTATTTTATTCATTATAGTGGAATACGGTATGCCTGGAATTGCCACATGGTTCTCTGAAACTTGTGTGCTCAGGATTAGTAACGGAATTGAAAAGATTAAACCAATATATCCCAGCATTGCCAATTGCTTCTGCCATTCATGAACGATTAAATGGCCTATTGCCAGGCTTGCCTTTAGAAGGAGGTCCTGCTGATAAAGCATTAATGTTTAATGAGGCAACACGTCGAGATACCTTCTCAAAATGGCCACACATGAATTACAAGTATAAAATTTGGACAATTACTGTTCACTTGATAGTAGCTTAATGAATTTATTACATTTATGTTGTTCTGTAGGTGGGCTTTACCCAATAAAATGGCTCAGGCTGGTTTTTATCATCAACCAAATACGACAGGTGATGATAGGATAATGTGCTTTACGTGCAATGTCTGCTTAGTTTGTTGGGAACCAACAGATGAACCTTGGTCAGAACATGAACGTCATTCTCCAGCATGTCCCTTTGTTAAAGGAGAATATACACAAAATGTTCCTTTCTCAGTTATTATTGCCACTGCTCCTGCAAGGGAGGTTGGTGATACTGTAGATGTGATCAGTACTACAAATGTCAGTGGTCTTGTAGCTACAGCTTCTAGTGGTGGTTTTATTAATGTATGGAATGTAACAAATCAATTAAAGGTAAATATTTACTAGTACATGTTAATTGATACTTCAATTAAAGCACTTTCATGTAATGTATTTCTTACAGAGGGAGGTATCATTTTATGTAGCTCCTATAGACCAAGAAATAAACAACAAAGATTCTATTCAGTTTGGTTCTACAAGAAATTTGTCATCATATTTAAGGACACTTAATTCAGAAACAGACCCCCTTTCTGAATATAAGCATCCAACTTCTCATAAAGTACAGGTCACAGCAGTGTCTGTAGTAGGCTCTCCCAAATCCCAAAACAGTGAAGTAAAAACGTCTGAATCCATGCTCTTACCTGAAGAGACATCAGACTTCAAAATCAGGCCATGTGTAGTGTGTGCTGTTACTGTGACAGTTAGTAATCCTTCACAGTTAAGGACTTTAGAAAATGTGTGGGCTGCTTCGACAGATTTAGCTTCATCATCATCTCTTGTTCGTGCAATGAACAGTGTAAATAGTGCTGCCAGTGATACTTTAGATATAATGAAGGTAGCAGGTGATAAGTATACACCATCAAGATTGCACTATTTGGTATTTTATGATTTTCATCATAAAACTACAACAACACAACCAATCAAAGAAGATAATACTAAAGACTCTAAGGCTAAAAAGACATTGTGTGGAACAGGAACCAGTGCTAGTTCAAATGGAGAACGTCAAGACAATTTATACCAAGAATTTTTAGTTAGTAAATTTTTTTATGAAGTTCCAGTAATAGAAGATGTAGATTCAGATGTAGTTGGGCCACATTTCGATGGTATTTTTCCAACATCTACTCTTACTGCATCATCTTCCAATGGAATCTATTCAAATCCAATTGGTATTACAGTACCTCCAACATCAAGTTCATTTGATGCTAATTTTAATTCTATTAATGGTCCAGAGCACTTTGCATCAACATCTGATTTGACAACTGTGAACAAGAAGAGTTTGGATATTATGAAAATGACAAAGACTGAACCAGTTGTTGTAAAAACTTTACCTATTGAAGCCCCAGATTTTATTAAAATTACACACATTGAGCCATCTAAGGATGGAAGACATTTATATGTTGCTATGTGTCCAACAGCAGATAACACAGATACATTGATTTCCAATAATAATCAGATGGACATTGATGAAGATAGTGAATTTTTCCCTCAAAAAGGTTACATGTATTGGGACCATAATGATACACAGTCTGATAGACTAATAAATGGTAAAATACATGATGATCCAAATAATGTGAATACTATACTACTTGTATATGCTCTGGATTTTTCTGGGCAAGTGGTGAAGGTGTTTTCTGAACCAGTAGCAAAACGAGAGCTACCAGCAGATCAAGCACCTGTTGAGCATGTATTTTTACCTCTTCAAGAAAACAATAAGTGTACACTATCTTTTGAAAATTCTAGTAAGGGTTCTACTACTAATTCAAGTGCATCAGAACCTGTTGGACAAGTGGCTGTAGTATGCAAAGATGGTGTTATCAGAATATTAAATTTAAATACATTAAAAACTGTTACTGAAGCAAGAGTAGAAGGGAAAAAGTTTGTTTCTGCAACCTATTGTAATAGTAAGTTTAGGTTCTTGTGTACATTTTGATTAAGTTCTTGTTTCACACATGATAATTTCTTTCAGGTGTAGAGAGATTGTGTGCTTGTACAAGTGATGGTGCACTTCACTTTTTTATTACTACAGATGAAGAAGATTCTGCAGAAGAACAGGAAGATACTGAAGATATTAATATGATGTCAACAGAAGAAAGCAGTAATAAAAGTATAATTCCTAGCACATCAACATCAAACACTTTTCAGTAAGATAACAAATAAAATTGAAATAATGGAATAAATAAAACGTTTTAAAATAATGGCATATCAAATGTTATATTTTTCCAGAGATCAGTTAATTGCGCACAAATTAAATTTTTCATATTCGGATTTACGTGCTCTGTATGAGTTGACACGATTCGATCATTATTCTCCTGCATACGGTGCTACCGTTCCCCCTTGTTGGAATGAAATGATGCAAGCTCAAAAACAGCGTCGTCATCCCCAACATTTTCATCAATCAGAAGATCAGCATCATACTCGAACGTGGCGTTTACATAATGAACGGTACATATTAGTATTTTAGGAAATATAGATTTTATTTTGTCTCCTTTTTCTTGATTACATTGAATTTAAAATGTAGGACCACTTGGGATGAACACATATTTGAATTGACTCTTCCTCGAAGTACAGCAGGAAATGTTGGTCATGTGGATGTTCGATATAGTTTGCATCCAATTTGTCAAGAATTACCAGCAATTCAAATTACTCTACTAAAACAGAATATGAATAGGATTGGATATCACGAGCCTTTATTAACTCCTGTGGATGAAAGAATAGATTTTAATATTGGTAGTGAGCAGAAGGGAGAAAATCCTGTAATCACAGAAGAGTTTCAACGGCAACATGATACAGAAATTTTATGTGGACCGATCGATTTACATCACAGTTTAGACTTGTCTTGGCGATCTGGTTGTATTACACTGACTAGTCCAAAACTGTTTCGATCTAAAGCTAGAACGCTTCTTGTTCATATTAAGGCTCTAATTGACCCTACGAAAGATAGCGTGAGTATCTAATTAAAATGCGTGTCGAAACTTAAATATAAAAGAAGTACGGTATTATAAATGTTATTTCCTTGCTTTTAGACAACGTCAAAATCGAAAACGAATTCATCAGACAACAAACCTCCTACATCTAAAAAGTTACGAATAGTCGAGGTACGTCGATTTGTAGAATCGCAAATAGGTGCAAATAGTAAGAAATTGGATGGTTACATTGGTAAATATAATAGTAACTACTATTTCATTCTATATGATTTGCAATTTATATTGTTCATTCTTCTTTCCAATGATTTTTATTTAGGTTGCGATTGCATTTTTGAAATATCAATTACTGTTCGGACGGTATATCCAACTAACATACCAAATGAAAAAGCACAACGATGTGCGATGTTAGAGTCTCATAGTTGTTTTGACAATTTGCTAAGTGTAGCTTGTTTGGAGACATCTGACAAGTAAGAACAAGTTTTATAACAGTTATAAACACAACTACTTCATATTTATTATACGGAAATACGTTATAGTATATCTGAATATTATAGGTCTCCCATTGCACAATCACTTGCATTAGATATTCTTGTATGGATAGCCTCTATTAGACTAACGAGGCTACGTAGCAGTCAAAACAATGCCGAAATAAAAACTTTTCAGTTGGAAACAATTCGTTCAGTGCAAGCACGGCTATCTAGTTTATTAAGAACTTGCCTTTTGCATGCTGGTCGAAGTATAGCGCACAAGTGTATAAAATTAATTATGCTTTGCAACATGTAAGTTAATGATGCAGCAATATATGAATAAATAATATAAAATGTGGAACCAGTTCTATAATACTATAAATTGGTTTCAGTGATTTTTATAATTTAGATGATCCTCCATCTCATTCTTTCGACGAAGCTTTGGTATCTGTTTTGGCATCGTTGTTACCATCGATAGTGGAGATCGAATGGGCTGGCTCATTGCGATGGTTACGATTATTAATTAATAGAATGTTAGTGCGAGATAGAAATCACAGCATTGCTCGACAATGTATTTCTCTAATACAACAAATTGCTGCTGAAATATCCGATCGAGTAAACCCTTATCATTTATTACTCGCTACGAGGTAAAATTAAATTTCTCAGTATACATATTTTATCATAGTTTTGCAATATCATACGAATGGAATTTATGAATTTTTTACAGATTTGGATTATATAATTCTCCATTTGAGACCGAACTTTTCGACTTAGAATCGCCGATGCCCCCGAAGTACAGTCCGATACATCCCACATATGTGTCAGCTGCAGCTAATGAACAAACGGGACCGTCAATTGCTTCATCAAGTTCCATGTATTCTCAGGATGCTATTGATTTGAGGGACCTACTTACACTGCCTACACATCCAGCTAGTGAATTTGTGGTGTCTAGCAAGTTAAAGGCTTTATGTGCTAATCACAATATGAAAGGACTACTAGAGGTACTTTATAAAGAATCTTAATATATGAACAGTAATTTTATAAAATTAACTGTGGATATTATGAAATTGATAAAAATTGTGGAAATACAGGTTGAACCTCTTCACTTTACTTGTCTCGCTGCTTCCGACGGTACAAAAATGGAAAAAATTGATCCGTGTACGAGTACGAATAATGTTGGAGCTGCTCTTTATGATAATACTGCTACGAACAACAACGGCGTATCTGACATCAAAACCATTCATCAGACTTACGTAAGTTATCGTGAATCACTTCTTTTTTTCATGTTAGTGTATCGACAATTTCCTTCATCCTTTTTGTTTTCCTTTTTCTGTTAGACTTGTAATCTAAACGATTTCACGAAACATGAAATTATTTTTAATTTGATGTAAACATGACAATACTCACATTGGCAAAAACCAAAGAATATCGTTATTTATAAAGCACCACGGTAAAATAAGATAGGCAGTTGAACAATTTATGTTTTTTTAATCAAAACACTGAAAGCTGTTACAATTATTTAGCATTGCACATTAAAATGTAAATGGTATAGATGTTTTTTCAAATAGAAGAAACATAATCCAGATAGAAATCATTATACATTGTAGAACTTGGGTGCTGGATTGCTAGGATCTAAACCAACTCCTATGTTAAGCGATCTACTTAGTCTATGTACAGGAAGAATGTTAAAGAAGCCAGCTCCACAACTGTTATTCACACCTGATGATCAATCAGACTGTGACGAAGCTAACGATATGTCTGTGAACAATCAGACATGGCATAATGCACAAAGTGATATGCCTAATTCACATATATTAAGTTCTACTGTAACGAAAGAAAAATCGTCTGTACAAAATATCAATACTACTGTAAACAAAGTTGAAGGCAACAATCCTAAAAAGGTAGATTATATAGATAAGAAGTTGCACTTTTTTCTTTTTGTTTCTCAGTTCGACGATTTCCAGTTGTTACCGTAAAGTTTTATAGCTTTATTAATATGCTGTTTATTACTGAGTTTACGTATAATTTCGTTAATGTTCCGGGTATAAAGCTAGATACGCAAATTGTAAATTGCATGACAGCTTTAGGATTCCATGCATTTAACATCAGTGTCATTTCAATATCGTTTTCTCATATTGCACATTTTGCTACATAAATTATCTATAAGATTTATCAAACATAGGTGTGATAGAAAAGTTATCCAGTTACAAAGGTTTTATTGTATTGAATGATTTATTTTAAATCCAATGCACGAACACATACTTCAACTGTACCAAGCTGCCTATACTTACATGATTTAATTTTGCATAATATTGTTTCAATTTTATTTCATATATTGTCTTCCTTGATTGATTCAAATAATGAAATATGTAGATTTTATTTCTATTTAATGCTTTTAATGTTACACACAATGGTGTGACATATATATTTTTTATAATGTGAAATATTGGGTAATAGTTTAGTAAGAATTTGTATAAAAAACTGACTATTACTATGAAATTATACAGATCTGTAGAAGAAGACTGACTTTACCCAAATTCCAAAAGTCTATATTTGGAAATATTCAATTTTAAAGTATTGTTTTGTAGAATTAAACGATTTATTTTCGTATTTTCTCGTATTTGTTTGAATGACTATGATCCATTTCATAATAAAATAGAAGTAAAGTAGATGTTTTAATTCGTACTAATATGGTGAATGTCGTTAAAGAAGTAACACGAATTATGTGTATATATTACAGCGAAAAGATGTTACATTTCCTTGGGCAAGATTGCTATGTTGGCCACCTCAACAAGCATTGGTGGTCGATCGAATGCATTCTGGTGCACGCCGTTTTGTCATTCTCGATTTTGGATCACCTGTATTACTCACGGACTTGATTATTCCTTGCTGCAGTGACTTAGCATCATTGTGCATAGATATCTGGACAAAAAGAGAGGAAGTTGATGGTACGCGACTCATTGTCGCCGGTGATATTGGAAATAGATCGTTGGTTGTATGTGATTTGCAACCACCACCTGTGTGTAGATATTTAAAGGTACTTATTGGTATATTTTTTATTATAATTCTTTAGTAAATATTTTGTATAGTAATAAAACACTACTTTGTTGCTTTTAGATTACGATCATAGGTCGGTATGGAATGTCTCCTACTATGTGTAAAATTCCATTAGGAATTTTTTATGGACATATGATGATTTTACCTGGAGAAGATTACGCAGAAGTAAATAGTAGTTCATCAGTCTTTGACAGCACTTTAAATTCTACTGTACAAGCAACCATTAATACACAATGCAATATTTTGTCAGCTCTTGCGGAAGATGTACAGTGCAGGTACTAGTAGTATATTTCTTAGGAAGTATAAGCTGTATTGATTATATTTAGTATATTTTACAGTTTATATTACTTTATAATTATTTTTTTTAGATTTAGCCTAGCTACTGAAAAATTGAAAAGCCTATTGGACCCATTATTGTGTTCAGAAACTACTAATGTAATGCACATGCAGCATTACCTTTCTTTTAGTAAAATATCGAATGAAAATAAAGAACAACCATCTGCAAAAATATTGGCTACTTATCAAGTAAGTGAAAGAAACTGATTTAATGTAAAGCGTTCGTTGTTCCTTGTGCAAAAAAGGTACAATAATGTTGTATTTTACAGGAATGCATAATGTTTCAACATCAATTAAATGTTGTGCGTGGTGTATGGAGAAGATTAGAATCGTGGAAAGGTTCTCAAACAATACCAACAACGTCATTAGCAAATGCACCTACCGATAAATTACGAGCTCTCGGAGAAACTTTACTCGATATTCTTTTATTGGCGGTATATGAAATTGGTCACATACCCAGAGTACGTTTCTCAGGTTTTAACTGTTCAGGTTTTTATTACGGTTCATTATGATTTTGTGCATGTTTTTTACTTTTTAGGTACCATTAACGATATTCAATGTTTTCACACCAACCGTTTGTGAAAAATTTTTCCATTCGATTTGTGTCGTTACACCAGCGCCACGTTTACAATTGCAAGCTGTTGCACTTTTAACACGTATGGCCGGACATCAACCTTGGTGGGGTAATTTCTTGTCTAACGTTTTAACTAATCTCTATTCGTCGTCGTCTACGCACATATTTCCACAAGACAGGTATGGTATAAATTTTTCAACAAAATTTAGAACTACTTCAAACGAGTTTTTAATTTCTAATTTTTTATTTCTAGAGTATTTATATTACTAACGCTCCTTGGGCGTAAATCATTAATTGCTGGAGTAAACAGATCTTCTGTGATAGACGCGATGGTTCGCACGTTAGGCAAATTATTGGCACCACTATCAAGCGCCCAAACATCTGATCAATCCAATAATTTAGATCTAACACTTATTGGATGGGTACTTCTTTTCTTGTCAGTGTGTTTAGATACTGTAGCTACCCTGCCTTCTTGTTTAGAAGGGAATAATGAAAAGAATATAGAACAAGGTACCACATACATACATATTTTTCGAAATGATAGAAGTAATGATACTGGAAAGTCTAATATTCATGAAAATACTTCTGAAAGGTTTATTATCTCGTTGGGAGTTTATTCAAGGAGAATCTGCGATGCAAAGAAAATACGGGAGTGCCAGTCGTTCTACAGCTTCTTGTAGTTTCCACAAAAAATTACAGAAGCATATAATGCATCACAAACAAAAGCTTCAAGAGTTGCAGCAGGCACAGAGAATATTTCAAACGTCATCACAGGTATAAAATTATCTTTGTTGTACTTTTGCAGTAGTAAATATGGGAAACAGTAAGGAACATTATTAAGTTGCATGGATTTTCTAGAGCTGGGTTAATATTCCTTCGCATACGGCTTCGTCGTATGCAAATAAAATGGAAGCATTCTTAAAAACGGGGGAGCGATTTTTCAAAAAGACATTGAAACAAAATTCTGCAAAACATTTCAAAGATATTCTCAGTGTTCGTAAAACTGACGCGAGTCACACTTCACGAGGTTCTCAATCGCAGGCAAACACAAGGTTAGTAATAAGTTAGTAATTAAAATTTACGCGACATTACTTAATGTTCAACATTTTATGATATTTTGTATTACGTATAAGTTCAAGCAAATCAGAAGCACCGGATCTGGAGGTTGAATACATATCCAACTTGTCACATCAACATGTTTTGCCAGTAGCACGTGGGCTTATCGCTCTAATTTTGCATAATTCTTCTAATGTGGATATGTTCCTATTAGCTTGCAAGGTATGCAATTCAATTCAAAAATATTATATGTATCTGTTGGTGTTTATCGTTTTCTAATGTAAAAAGTAACATAAATCTTTTGTTATATATTGTCTATTTATGGAAAAATACCCTATCTGTATAAATGCTTAGTACTACGATATCGATTTATGATTAAAAGGTTATTAGCTTGTAGATATACTTAATGATTTTTAATATACAATAGCTTTAGGTTCATGCTTTTGTCAGGAAACTTTTTGAACTGTTGTATCGTGTGCCATATAGGTAGTCGCTAGGCTAGTGATATCTACACGTCCTGCAATTAGCTTGTGCGAGCTTCTGAACGAAGAACAGCTCTTAAAATTAGTCAGATTGGCAACGGGTACCTCTGATGCTGCATGGTCTTCGCATGCGGTCTCGTGCCTGTTGCAGGATTTATTACAAGGTACAAAATATGTCTTATTATATTATCATTATAAAGTTTAGTTGTGATATTTATTACGTTTGTAAATATTTTTTTTCAATCCTTTAACAATCGTCTACTACTGTAGGCGGAAAATTACTTTCAAAAACGTGTTCCACTCATGAAGGAAGTCCTTCGGAAGAAAATTTTGAATCACTTGTTACGGAGAAGAGTCGAACACCGGAAGAAGAATACGCCAGTGTTGCTGAAACAAGCAGTACTGCTGTTCCACTTGGTAATGATGAAGGATTTGCAGAAGGTGAAGGAGAAGAAGATGCTCAAGATAGTATAGTGGTACCATCGGCAACAGCTTCAACATCAAAGTCTAATGGATTTTTACCATCTCTTTTGGAATCTGATGACAGTGAACTAGAAGATTTCTTAGACGATATTTTAGAACGTGGTAGAAATATGTTGAAGAAAGGCCATCCATTACCTAAGAATCTGGGCATGCTAGGGTATGATGTCATGTATAATAAATATAAAAACCTGAAGGAAACTTAATTGCATCAAGCATTAAATTAATTATACATTCTTATAGTATTTCTTTGGCAATGGATGCAAGATTAGAATACGGAGTGGAAATGGGAATAGAGATATCACTGAGGATATTGCCCATGTTCAGCATGTTTAATTTACCATATAGCATAAGTACCACAATACATGTGAGTTGATAATTTTACCGTAAGCATAATATGGATAAAATTTATCTTCAATTTTTGTGCCGTAGGTCCCATCAGAGACAAATCGATATCCGCAACCATCGACATCGAAACCTGAAACTAGTTGGAACGAAAGAAGTCAAGATGTTTGGAGCTCACCCCACGCGACTACTTTCAGCTTAATAATGTTAACATTATGTTTTGACAAAATATTCACAGAATTATATTTACAGGTGAATAGCATCTATTAAATAAAACCACTATTATCTATACAATTTTTCTCATGAATTTAGAGTATATTAAAAACTGTTTCCACTTTGCAACAGAATGCGGGAACAAATCTAGAACTTATTCTCCAGCTTTGGTTGACACTGAATTTAGATGCTTCTTCGGAACAGTCTAGTTCATCAAATCAGTTTGATCCTTCATTGTCACCTGTTATTCCATTGAGTTCAACAGCTATTTCAAACCTTATATCTGCATTATCCTGGTGAATAGAAAATTCTATATTTTTCATTTTATCAATGAAAATGAAAATTAAAAGCAAAAATTAATTTGTAGGCATCCAGGAGTTTCTTTGCGAGCTTGGTGTCTTGCTCTACAATGTTTGACTTTAGCAAGTAATCAACCATTACTGGCAGATTCTGCAGAAGCTGCAAACAGTAGACAACCATTAGATGGTCTTTTGGGTGGTATGGCTGGGTGTATTGTAAAGGAACGCAATATGGGTCCTATGCTTTTGCGTTTACTTTCGGGTAGCGGATTAAATGTTAATGCTATGGATAAGCAATACATTATGGTATGTTTGTAAGTTTCTTAAGGTATTAAATTTTTATAACAAACTACGTCAGTATTTTAATTCGTAGGCTGGACCTACTGTTTGTCAAGCGCTACAAGATTTTCTAGTTAGATTGAAGATGAGATGCGATGTAAATACTCCTGGTAGCTCTTTGGGAAATGCGTTAAAGGAACTTTTACTATGGGTGATATATCAACTTGTACAACCTGGCGGAGCTCTTTCCGCAAGAAGAGGACCTTTAGACGCACAGTACAAACTTATAACATCATTGACAAATTTGAATTTTACCAATACCGACTTAGGGACTGCAATGAGTATAACGGAATGTGTCGGAGTATTAGTTTCCACTTACGTTAGAGGTTCTGGAGGTAATTTTGTGAATTATTACAACGCGTTGTGTCGTAGAACTGCATAATACAATTCTTTTTCCTTCAGTAGGAGCTCAGTGCGGCGGTAGCGTTGATTCAGCAAATTCATCTGGTGGATTTGGTGGTTTATTTGCTTGCGTATTTGGTGGAGATACAAGACAAGGTCGGCCAGCTTCCTGGGATACTTTAGTCGTAGCTCTAATTAAATTAGTATGCCGACTTATTCAAACTCCTTTACCAGAGGTATATATTATTGAGTCAACTCAATTTGTAATTTGATCTTACATTTCAATGTTTTATGCATACAGACTTGCGCTGGTCGATTCGACAGCACAATGAGAATCGATCTTTCTGAGACAAATCTCGATACAGTAGCTGATATGAATGATACTCAAATGAAGGTAAATATTTCACAAACGGATGAAAGTAAAGTTGCAGAACAACAATCTTCATCCCGTTTACAACAATGTACGTCTAATAAACCTCGTGTACGATGTGTGGCGGACACTGGTACGTATACAAGTGTAATAATGCTTTTTTAAACAAATATTAATCATTGAAACATTTATAATTTTTAGTTTTGCAACACGAACCTACTATGATGCGATTGCTAGGAGCTCTTGGCCGAAGCACTGGCTCATCTTTAGCTATGCTATTAGGCGAGAGTGCTGGAGCAGGAACAACGACTGAACTTGGTGATCCTGCTTCGATACCGGACGCCACATTTCAACTTTTGACCACTCTTACTAAAAAAGCAAGCAATCGCACTTTAGTCCTCAATCCGCTTCATCAATATCTTTCTTCTTGTAAGGATCATTTATTCTAGCAATAATTATTTTCTAACGTCCGAAGTATTTATTTGATTAGATACATCTATACATCTTTTTGCAGCTTGTGGACAAAGAGAATTGGATCATCAACTGGATGTTATGCAACTGTCTGAGCCCCTCCTTTGGTACATCTTAAGGGTTCTAGACAACGAAGTATCACTGGCAATGTTCACGGCGATGGGTGGTGTAAAAGTACTTTGTGAAAACTTAGTGAAATCAAGTAACAGTGGCAATGCGAACTCTGCTTCACCTGGTGTAATTGCGTTGGTAATGGAACATCTTTCGAATGCTCCTAACGTTATACCAGTGGCTTCCTCAAGTAGTAAAAAGTCCATGAATACGTTAGAGTCTTACGAGGATGGATTACTAAATTTTGCCCCTTTGGGAACAATATCTTGGTTAAATCCTACAGCGCAATCAGCAGATGTTCTCATACAAAATTCTACACCTCACAAACGAGCTAGGACAGCTGCGTGGTTGTATCATTGTTATCCTGACGAAGCATGGGTTGATCTTACGATCACTTTACCTTGTGCTATATTATTAAGAAAAGTAGAGTTGCAACCACATCTTACGGCTTTAGCTAGTAAGATATACCGATAAATATTTGAATATTAGTAACATTTGGCGAATAATGGATGTTATACGTAACGTATTTTGTGTTAATACTTTCCAGCGTGTCCGTCAGCTGTAGCTATTGAAGTTTCGAGAGAAAGCAATAGTCCCCTAACACCTGTTTGTCCACCAATGCCAACGGCAGGCTTGACATTTATACGTATCACTTTATCTCAACCAGAAGTGGCAACATCTGTACTTGTGCGACTGTACAAACCTCGCGATTCAATAAGCATAAGTTTAAGCCAGATCAAGTTATTAGGTACAACAGCATTTGGCGAAATAAAAAGCAGTCATGATACGATAGATGAAGAACAACTTACTAAAACAAGGTAATTCTATTTATGGATCCTAAATAGCACATTTATTGGTATAGTTTTCAATTGCATTCACTGTGAAGTGAACCTCTACGGCTCTGAGTATTCAACACACAACTGTTATGATATATTTGTCCAGCTTGGGTTGGTTGCGATTACTGCATCAGTGTCTATCCGTGAGCACATTGAACAGCAATCTCGCTGTTAAGGTGCTTAATTCTGCCGCTTCAGTTGAAGGACTGGTTGAGGCATGTTGTAATCTTCTATTACTCCCAGCACCGTCTCTTTTTACTCCCAATCTGGAAAGGGTTCTGTTGCAATTAGGCTTACATTCTCAAGAACTTGGACTTCGTCTCATTGGTCTCTTACTCAACAACAGGTCTACTTCTTTCTTCCAAGGTACCGCTTTTGTTGGGAATCGTTTCTATTTCTTTTTGCAACGATATCTTTCGAAACGCATAATGAATGAAAATCTTGTTGATATTTCGTAGGTGCCGCAACTACGCAAGAAACATCGACTGTTCAATTGGTTGTTGAACTGCTTCAACAGCTATGCTCCATTCAAGATTCTTGCACGGAAGCTCGTATGACCGCGGTGCTTTCATGGCTCCATGCATCTGCCGTGAATGGAATTGCTCGGCGCCGTAATGGTCCTAACGCTATTAATCCACCTGCTGTATATATTCATTGTGTGTCTTCCATTATCTGGGAAGCCCACCAACAACAAAACCTTAATTATGATTTGCAAGCCTTATTAACCGATGAACTTTTTAAGTACGCCAATTTTCTTTCGTATTATATCTTCTTTTTTTTTTTAAATATTAATGAATTTTTAATATAATACACGTTTTTAATAGTGCTCTATATCAGTGGACCTTAACTTTGGGAACTGGGTCAGCTTTGAAGCAGGCAATTGATTCTGCCCTTTGTGCATTTTGCTACGTTAGACCTACATTGTTCCCTTTACTTCTTCAACGAGTACAAATCTTGGTACCCAATATGGCGACGGATCATTCTGCATCTATATCGGATGATCGTAAAGAAAGGGAAGGACAAACAGACGACAAAAAGAGTGAATTCAATGGCGAAGAATGGTACTGTCGTTACGTGCTATCAGAGTACAAGCGATTAAATTTAACAGAAGGGCAGTTGCTTACGGTAGCTGCGGCCGCTCGGTCTCCACCAGGTATTCAGCAACTTATTGATTCCGGACTTCCTACTTTGTTGACGGTGTTAATTACCGGTAAGTAAGGTTGCCCTGTGAAGCAATTTCCCTAGAAAGATGTATATTTCTGAAGAATCAAATTTCTCTATGCAGATTTTTGTAATTTGGAAAATACACGACGAGAGCAACCGCAAAGTAGAAGAATGTCCACGGAGGAGAGTTATCAGAGTACCAGTATGGGAGGTTTAACAGACAACGATAAAGCTGGTGAAACATCCATGGAAACAAGTGATATTCACTTTGGTGAGCATGTGCTTCAAAGATTGGCAGCTTTTGTAGAATTGAAAACATTTTAACGATCATTGTTTAGGTGGATTATGTATGACGGAGCCAGAAAGTATAGCGATAGTGTTGGAATTTTTAACACTTGTGTGCTCAGAAGGTAGAATGCGCGATTGGCTTGGAAAAGAAGGACGTGGTTTCTGGTTGGCCCTCCTTTCCCTTCTTAGCAATCGACCTATAGAAAATCCATCTTTGTCTTCTTTAAGGTGGAGAATTATACGAATGTTTTTGTCACTTTACAAGTATGGAATGAATCTTAGTTGCTGAAGAATCTGTTTTATATTTTACAGGTGTTCAAAAACAGGCACTTCGTATGCGTCACTAGAGAGCGCGATGATTAAATTTTTATCTAGGTGTTGTTGGTGCCATCTCGAGAACCAGAGGTTATTAGCTGAATTATTGACCGATGTTATTTCTCAACAACGAACAACTTCCAGTAAGACGAGAGTTTATATATTTTAATCAAGATTTTTCTACTTTATGTGCTATGTACAATATTCTTTGCAGCAGATATGCGTTATCTTCATGGTATTTCGGGTTTCACAAGACGATTGATATTGCAATTATTACTGGAAGGTGAAAAAGTATTAGTATCCGTAACTTCTGATGCACCTATGAAAGTTTCAAATACAGTGGCCAACTATAGTATGCTGTCTATGCCGCCACATCCAGCTCATCCACTTGGTCATTACCATCAATTATTGTACATGTCTACGCAATCAACCGTGGCGGATATATTGCAGCAAGTATCTGGTAAGTGTATCTTTTTAGTTGATCTAGTAATAATCCTATGCACGATACAATTGTAATATGCGTTCACATATCTGTGTTTACATAAAGGTACTTGGCTTTTTCTCTTGTTGCCGAATACGTATAAAGGTAGCGAAACTGGATCGACTAATAATCGGTCCAGAGAGCTTTGGGAGTCTGGTATGGCCTTTATAGTAGATACTCTTAGCGTAGCTGCGGGAAATACAGCAAAAGATAAAAGGGCTAAAGAAGCGTCTAATAGATCGCAAGCTCGTGGTCCCGTCGTTAGAAAGTCGCGAACTAATTCTGGTGAGTTACTAACATTGCGTTATATCGCATGCTATATGTTATGCAAGTGCAATAGAATCAATCTGTTTGCAATTCTGTATTAGTAGACGGCGCGGCGAGTACGAGCAAAACATCAAGCGATAACGTTCAGCAGAGTTCTACCAATTCTACGAATCAACAGTATTTGATACATTCATCACGTCCAAATACTCCCTTACCACCACAATTGACCATTGCTCAGCTGTTAGCTATTGCTGAAGATAGCGGTATATCCCTATCGGAACCTTGTTTGCATCTTATATTACGTCAGCGTAATAAAGATTCGAAAGGTATATTATTGAACAAAAGCACGCGATATTAAATCTAGGAGATGTAGATATATATTGATGAGATTTATTCATCCATTTTTCAGAGGATATAACGAAACAAAACGACAGCGAGTTACTAAATTACAGAAGCATAGAAAGTTCATTAGGCGTGTTCAGTGCCGGCGGTGGCTTGGCAGTGCTAGCCCGGCATTTACCACTAGTGTACCCAGATTCCAAACCACCATCTGCTACGTTGCCTTCACCGGAGCAAACGTACGAGGAAGAGTGGGTGAAGCTAGAAATCAACGGCGACGCTTGCGAGGTTGTAGAAGAAGGTGGAAGCAATTGTTCGCCGCAGACATCGTCTCCGTCTCCTTACGTACCGCCGCACTCCCTTGCTGCCTTTGGTCTGTTCCTCAGGCTACCTGGATACGCGGAAGTGTTGCTAAGAGATCGAAAACGCGCACAGTGTTTGTTACGTCTTGCTTTAGGCGTCTCAGACGACGGTGAAGGCGGAGATCTTTTAACATCACCGCTGGCTGCGGTGCTACCAACCTTGCCATTCCAAGTTTTGAAGCAATTACTCGATGCTACGCCTGCGACCACCGATGATGGCCTTCTTCTTCGCAAAACGACCATCGAAGTCGGTGCCATGCTTTTGTTACTGAATTGTCTGGCCGTATTCACGCATCAGACGAATCAGAACGAGAACACCGAGCCAAAATTGGCCGGTATTCAGGGCGACGCAGGTCGTAGCGATGATAATTCGCATTTGTACTGGGCAAAGGGTACTGGATTCGGCACTGGTTCCACCCAGCAGGCGTGGAACGTCGAGCAAGCTCTGATGCGTCAGAGATCCGAAGAAGAACACGTTACAGTATTATTGCAAGTGTTAGCGAGCTACATTGGTTCCGGTGGACAGACGCAAAGAGAACTGCCAATCTCTTTCCCAGATCTACTTGCTCGATCGTGTCTACTGCCAGCCTTGTCTTCGTATTTGAGAAATGACTCAGTGTTGGACATGGCGAGGCATATTCCTCTGTATCGGGCGGTGTTGCAATTGCTCAGAGCTATGGCTCTCTCAAATCAATTGGCTCCGCTTCTGTTACCCAGAGGCGGCATAAAATCCGGTGAATCGTCGGTCGTGTCGCTTTTATCTAGTATGAAGGTTTGCGTCGACACGTATGTTCACAAGATCAATCGTACCAGGAGTAACAAATCAAAGACGCTGTTCAAATATCCAGATGACACAGAGCAGGACGAAGGTTTAGCAACGTTGATTCCTGACATTCAAGAAAGTGCTACTATAGTGCAAAATGCTACCTCCAGATTGTCTGGAATGGAGGAAGATCTACCTGGTCCTAGTCCTACGGCTCCAGAGTTACCTCTGCGTTCCATCGAACAACGATACATAGAAGTTATGAAAAATTTACAATTTGATACGTATGAAATGATTACCGAGAATCCAGAAGCTGGCGGTGGATACAAGTTCGCTGTTTCGTATCATTTTGAGTCCAATATGAGGGCAGCTGGAGAAAGAAGTCATCCCACAAGGGTCAAGAGACTAGCACAGGAAGCTGTCACGCTGTCCACGGCGTTACCCTTGTCCTACAGCAGCAGCGTTTTCGTTAGGTGTGATGCGGATAGGCTAGACGTAATGAAGGTACATCGCACGGGACAAGTAATTAAAAGAACGAAATGTGCTTCGTTTCTGGTATTAACGTTAAACTCCACTGTTCAGGTACTCATAACAGGGCCAGCAGACACACCGTACGCGAACGGATGCTTCGAGTTTGACGTGTATTTTCCTCCGGACTATCCAAATAGTCCAATGTTAATAAATTTAGAAACTACTGGTCGTCATACAGTCCGATTCAATCCAAATTTGTACAACGATGGAAAAGTCTGCTTGAGCGTATTGAATACATGGCACGGACGTCCTGAGGAAAAGTGGAATGCACACACTAGTAGTTTCCTACAGGTAGGTGTTAACGTTAACGAGGCATAGTTGAGAAATATGCACGTTAAATATCACCAATTGAACATGTTCGATCTTTGATCAAAACAGGTCTTAGTATCGATACAATCGCTGATCTTGGTATCAGAGCCTTATTTCAACGAACCAGGATACGAACGGTCACGAGGTACGACGAACGGAGCTCAATCTAGTCAAGAGTACAACGCGAACATTTGTCAGGCCACTGCTAAGTGGGCGATGCTCGATCAAATTCGCAATCCATGCCCTTGTTTCAAAGAGGTAAACACATCGAGCTGTGCTTTAAAAAAAAAAAAAAAA